ATAGATAGATAGATAGATAGATAGATAGATAGATAGATAGATAGATAGATAGATAGATAGATAGATAGATAGATAGATAGATAGATAGATAGATAGATAGATAGATAGATAGATAGATAGATAGATAGATAGATAGATAGATAGATAGATAGATAGATAGATAGATAGATAGATAGATAGATAGATAGATAGATAGATAGATAGATAGATAGATAGATAGATAGATAGATAGATAGATAGATAGATAGATAGATAGATAGATAGATAGATAGATAGATAGATAGATAGATAGATAGATAGATAGATACTTTTTTTTGTCCCCAAGGGGAAATTTGTCTTGAACATTGTGCACTAAACAAAGCTTCTTCCACAATTAAATACACTACAAAACAATAAAATCATGTGTATGGAAATGTGACCACAATAAAATAAAAACACCTATTGCTCAATAAAACACATATTGCACATTCCCACATACATTCCAGCAAGTACACTTTACAACAAATCAAACCAGAGTCCTGATCCCGCAGAATGCAACCAATGACTAGTTTAGGTCCCACAGCCAAAGTGGCAGACGCCACCAAATGTTGTGAAGAATGGAGGGGTAGATGCTGTGGGACTTCTGGATCCACACTGACAAACAGCTGATGGTTAACCAGCTGACATTGTGGTCAACAAGCAAGAGAAGAAGGCAGTGGTGACAGATGTAGCAATCACAAGTGACTAACATCTGGAAGAAGGAGCAGGAGAAGCTGAAGATGTACCGAGGGCTGAAAGAGGAAATATTGAAGTTGTGCAAGTATAACTTTTATTTATATGTTACCTTTTACAGGTCAGAAACCTGTAAAGCGGTTTAGAGAATATAAGACATAAAAACACAAAAGATAAAAGATGAAAGGAGTGTGGAGAGTCAAAGTGTCAGTAGTTCCAGTGGTCGTTGACACACTTGGTGTTGTGACCTCCAAACTGGAAGAGTGGCTTCAAAAGGTTCCAGGAGCAACCTCAGATCTTTCGGGTCTTAGGAACAGCTGATACTGAACAGAAGCCTCAAACTCCAGACCTCCCTCAAGATCAGGGGATTTAAAAAGTGGGGAGTGGTGGTGCAGAGGTTAGAGGAGATGGGCCTGTGATCGGACGGTCGTCCGTCCGACTCCCCGAACCAACAACATCAAAATGTGGTGGGAAAGGTGAAACATCCACACCTGCCTCCACCCTCATTTGCTCCACTCTGGGCCCTTGAGCAAGGCCCTTAACCCCCACCATCTGCTCCCCCGGGCGCCCTGGATGCTCTGCTCCACACAGAGGCTGTGGCAGCTCGGGGTCTGTGGTTGTGTCAGGAAGGACATCCGGCGTAAAAACAATCATCAAGTCTTCATGCGAGTTAGTTTGTTGTGGCGACCCCTGAAGAAGGAGCAGCCGGAAGATTTCAAACAAACCAGTCGCCAGAATCCAGCCAGAGAACAGATAGTGCTGTTTTTAACAGAAGCCCAGTGATGAAGACGAAGGTGCAGTGATGTGAGCCTTCTGCTTTTATCAAATCCCACCGATCAACAACTTCAACATCAACTGAGATGAATTCAAAGAGTGGATTCCAACATTTTTTCATGGAGTGCTTATTTTTAAAATTCATTCTTTTTCTTCTACTACTGACATTTATTATTATTTATCAGCCAAACTGTACAAAAGTTAGATTGTTGTGTACATTTTCTATCAAAACAAAATTCAATCATTTGTAAACACTGTAAACTCATATTTTATTAACGGATCATAGCGCACACACATGTTGGTTTTTGTGTGTTTGATTTGTTTTGGGGGGAGACAGTTTGAATTTTATCGCAGCAACACATAATTTAAAAGATGGCGCAGGGGATCCAAACATAAAGAAGAGAAGAAGAAACAGAGGGAGGAGCTTATTTTTAATGAACATTAGGTTAACTAGCAACAGGTCAGTAAGTGAGGGGGGTATGAGAGTGTTTCAGAGAGGCTGAATCTCTTAGAAGGAAAACTTGGGCGAGATTTTCCAGTCTGCAGACAAATGCATCTAAAAATAGAGGAACAACTTGAGAATAATAACAAAATAAAGTGCTATGTGTTGTCATCACTGTATGTTCCCATACAAACATGAAATTGGCTCTCGGCATTTCACCTTGGATGCACCCAGGTGGAGCAGTGGGCAGCTATGCAAGCACCTGGGGAGCAGTTCAGGATTAGGTGTCCTGCTCAGAGACACCACGAGATGTGCAATGGTCGGGGATCAAGCCCAGGACCTTCGGGTCCTGAGTTGGCTGCCCTGCCCCTACACCATCTCAGCTCCAAATAATGCTACCTAATGAAAAATAAGGAAGTCTTTGAATATCACTACTCTCCATAATGTCTTAAACATTTCAATTTGTAAAAATCTCTGAGCCCAAAGGACAAGACATAAAGTCAGTATTGAATGTTGTGATCTTTGGGCTCTCAGGGGCCACTGCAGGTCTGGTTCTGGACATCACTGCACGGGTTCAGGAACACTTCCATGAATCATTGTCTGTAAACAGAGTTCAACATGTCATCCACAAATGCTGATTAAAGCTTCATCCATCCATCCATCCATCCATCCTTTATCTCTTACCCATTTCTTCCTGTTTGGGTCACTGGTGCCCATGTCCAGAAAATCACTGTGCAAGAGGCAGGGGACACCCTGGACAGGTCTCCAGTCCATCACAGGAACACAGAGACAAACAACCATCCCCCCTCTCTCTCACACACCTAGGGACAATTTAGATGTACCAATCAGTCTAACATGCATGTTTCTGGTCTGAGGTGAAGTGAAAACTGTTCTGAGGTCAGACAAATCCAAATGTTTTTGGAAACAATGAGCACAATATCCTCCATACTGAAAAGGAGAGGGACCATCTGGATTGTTATCAGCACATGGTTCAACGACCAGCCTCTCTGATGGTATAAGGGTGCATTAGTACCTCTGGCATGGGCAACTAATACATCTAGAAAAGCTCCAGCAATGTAGAAAAGTATCTGCTGGTTTTAGCACATCTGCTCCCATCCAGTGAAGAAGATCCAGGACTCTGCAGGTTAAGTCAGGTCCTCTGGATGGATTCTGTCCAGAGGGCCTGATTTAACCTGGTTAGATTTATCTACCTGGATTATTGCATCATCAGGACCAGACCCAGGACTGTTGAACAGCTAGAGTCCTCTATCAGACAAGAATGTACAGCAGTCTCTAAATAAAAAAATTAAAAAAGAAACTGTTTGAGTTTTTAATGCAGAAACATTTAGTCGCTGTAATTAGTGTGTTAAGCATTAGGGGTTGGTGAAGTGGCCGAGGACAATGGGCTGTCAAACAAAGTGATGCTGCTTCAATGACGTCCCCCCAACAGGACACATTCCTCACATGTGAAGGACTGTCGCCTCTCAAAGGCCAAGGAAAGATCTGGAGGTGGAAACATTTTATTTAGCTTCTCAACTTTGTATTGGAGTTTTTATTAGAACCTATTGTGATTAAAAAAAAGTAATTTCAATCAAATGTGTAAAATTAGACTTTTTACGGATGAAATGTGGCGGTTGTCGTTTCCCCACACCCATCTGAAACTCATGAAAGAGACCAAGCACATCATTTAGCACACAAATGGGCCAACTTGATTTTCTTTTGTCCAAGAACGTGACCCAATTTTTGACCAATCACAACTCAGTAAAAGTGTCCTGAGCCAATCAGCTGCAGGGCACCACCCGCCTGCGTGCATGATAATAAGACTCAGAGTAACAAGTGTGGGGAGTGAAGCTGTTGAAGCTGCAGCTTGCTCAGAGTGCTGTGGAAATAACTTGGTCCTTCTGCAAACCGTCACCATGGTCGACGCCTTCTGTGCCACCTGGAAACTGGTCGACAGCGAGAACTTTGATGAGTACATGAAGTCACTCGGTGAGCGACAACTTGTGCTTTTCTTTTCACGTTCTTTAACGCAACCACAAATGTGAAAAGAAGAGAAATAACAATATGGTTAAAGCTTCCATCCTTAAAGCACGATAAGAGTTGATAACATTGCGATTATATAAATGGTTGAGAAGATGTTTTCCTCCTCTGTTCACTCAGGGGTGGGCTTTGCCACCAGGCAGGTTGGAAATGTGACCAAACCAACTGTGATCATCAGTCAGGAGGACGACAAGGTGGTGATCCGCACCCAGAGCACCTTCAAAAACACAGAGATCTCCTTCAAACTGGGAGAGGAGTTTGATGAGACCACTGCCGATGACAGAAACTGCAAAGTGAGTTGACAGCTTTTTACTTTACTTGGTTTGTTTAGAGACTTTAAATACACGCGAGCGATTAAAAGCACATTTCATCATGTTTTTGAGCAAAACAAAGTTCTGGATTCCATTTTTATTTTAAATTTTTTTCTTTTTTTTTTTTGCATTTTTGTTGTTGGATGCTCCTTTTGTTCCTGTTTATGACAAAAGTAGATCCTTCAACACATTTGGAGAAAAACTTGAAATCTGCGTCATTGTAGTTTGGTAATTTTTCGTATTTTATTCTGAAAACCTTTTTTCTTTCTGCCTCTCAAGTCCACAGTGACTCTGGACGGGGACAAGTTGGTCCACGTTCAGAAGTGGGACGGCAAAGAGACCAAGTTTGTCCGAGAAATCAAGGATGGCAAAATGATCATGGTAAGACCAGCAGGGGAAGATCCTGTGCATCATTTATTTTGATCAATATACACAACTTTAATGTAATAAATGTAAGAGCTTAGTAAACAATCAAAACAACAAGCTCATATCATACTGTTTATTAAAAAGTCTTTTGTTTTAGACCCATTCTACAACTGTTCAATGTGAAAATCATTGATAAATGTAGAAATTATAAAACAAAAAGCATTGCCACTGCAAATTGTGTTAGTAATGCACAGTTCAAACATTTTAGATGCAAGAAAAAGCTGCAACCCTTTAATTTCATGACATAAAACACAAATCTAATGTAAAAGGTATGCATGTGAAATAAAGTCACAAAGCAGTGAAAAAAGGTTTCTGATTTGTTGCAGTATAAAGCTGTTATTCTTTCTTATTCGTGCTTATATTGCTCTGATTTACCAACTTTATTTTATTCTTGCTATAGCTAAATAGATCACATCACAGATTTATGAGCTTGTTTCAGTAAAACTTGAAAAACGTGGTAATAATCGCCTCTTTTTTTGCAGAATTTGACCTTTGAAGACGTCCATGCGGTGCGCACCTATGAAAAGGCTTGAGTGCTCAGACCGACAGCATCCTGAACCGGCCGATACGTGTTGATTTTATAATTATTGGGGACCGTTTGCTTCTCTTTGCACTTCATCCTACTCTGCATGTAAAAGGCCTGCAAGCTGCACGTGATTTTTAAAATGTTTTTTTATATGGATACATTTCTGTCAGGATGGATGGATCTATCTTACAAACCTGTGGAAAACATGAAATAAAATTAAAGAAAGAAAGAAATTACTTTTGTCTCTTTCTTGGAGCGCTATTTGGAAAATAATTTCAATTTTTTTTTTTTAATAAGACACATAAGAGACCTCAGCAAAAATGAGCATTAAATCCAAACAGTGACCTTTGACCTTTCTGCAGAGAAAGGATGAACAATTATTGGGCACTAGATTTACACAAAGTTGACTTCTGGGAACATTTTAGAAAATTCAGGCATTTTGTAAATTGTTCACTTTTATTCTGAGTTTTACAACCAATTCACCCAGTCAGAGAATTTTGTGGGACAAGCTCAGTAAATGGGTCAATTAGCCCAATTATTCCCAAACATTAACAGCTAACTCCTGATTATGGCTCTGATGTAATAATGTTCTTTTGAAGACACGCCGTAGCTTCGCATACTATAACTATTAAAATGACAAAATATTGTAGTTTTAGAGCATGAAATGAGACATGTACATACAGTTTGTCTTTACAGAAACAACGTTCATGTTTCTCTGAACATTGTTATGAATCCTAATGTAATAAATGGGTTTAATTTGTTACAGTCAGCCAGACTCAGTTTGACATGATGATGAGTGGCGAGGGAGCTTTGTATACCTTAAATCAAGAGCAGCCCATTAGTGCAGTCTTAGTTTATCTCATTATTTCAAGTCATTGTTTATATAGTGCCAATTTATAACAAAGGTGAGCCAAGCACCTTAAAAGCTAGCGTGAAATTTTTGAAATGGACACATAAAAATCCCTAGAAATCCAAATTAATAGAGCCTATAATTTATCACGTTCAGCAGATTCACTGACTTTAATCATCGCATTTAGGCCTTGCATTAAAAAAAACTTCATTATGTTTATTTCACTCACCTGGTGTGCGTGGGCGTACATTGGATCTGAGCTGCATCCAGCTGATGTGCCGGCTTATAGCACTTGAAATGGGGCACAATTTTTGCTAACTTGATGGTCAGGATGCAAAATGGCATACAACCCCTGTCGTTCAAAGAACATTGTTTTATCTCTGTTCTGTCAGTGGATCCAGAGTAAAATGTGGACAAGTAATCCAGAACCTAGTGTAAGTTACATTGTTGCATACGACAAAGAAAAAAAGATTAATGAAAAAAATATTGATATAGCTGTATTGTTAGAGGCTAATAAATATTTTGTTGATTTTTGCTGCATCCATTACCGTGTGTATAATACAGTTACCTTAATGTTATTTTATATAGAAGGAAAATAAATATGAGATCTTGATTTTAAAAGTGTAAAAGTAACATAATATTGGTTGTAGCGAACAGATTAAAGTATTTTACTGCACTGGTGATGAAACCTTCCTTTAGGCTCCTCCCCTTTCAGACCCAACAGGTCAGCTGACTGCTGGCCAGTCCTGACACTTCCTGTTTACATTTAGGAAGCGTGTACTTGAGTTCTGCTGGAACCAAAGGTCTAGTGGCACTCTGTAAGTGAGTTTTCACTCCTCATGGAGCAGATTCTGTGTTTCTTGGTGCTCCTGATGTTCAGCGGAGCTCCGGTCACCGCAGCCCCGGCAGGAAGCAGCTTCCTGTCGGGAACAGGTGAGGAAAACCTTCGCTGTTGGTGAAAATACAGTTTATTTCATTTTACAACTAGTCCTGGAAGAGCACAGGCTAACATGTTATTTGTGAATATTCGTGTTTGTTTGAATAGGTTTACATTCCAGTGTAAATGATAAGACATTTTAAAACGTTGTCGTTTCAACCAGTAAAGTAAAGACTTGATAAATTTGTTCTGTTTGACTCATGAAACTTTAGCCGAATTTAAAAAAAGATGCTAATAATTTAAATTAGATGTTGACATTTGTTGTTTTTTTTAATAACAGTGACTAAAACATATAAAGTTGTTGTTTAAAGGAAGTTCGGCTGAAAACTGTTCCTCCTGAAGTGACATTACAAATTTTATAAAAAGTCTTATCTTCATATTTTGACCTAGAAAACAGTTATCTACGTTGTTTTATTATCTAAATGGAGATAAAACTATCAGGTTAATCCAAAAGAACTACATTCAGAAACTAAATGTTTGTTGATTTTAATTAAAAACAATATAGTTATCAAATAATAATCACAAAAAAACAACAAATAAAATAATTTCATACTTAAAAACTGCTGAGTCAGCACTGAACATTTGGTTTCCTGTTTTCAGTTTCCTTCATATTTGAAAGGACTCGAATTACTTCTGCATATTTTTGTGCTGTTTTCAACTGTTCTTTATGAACATGTTCCTTAAGTATTTAACTTTATTTACAAAAGAATTGTCCATAGAAAAGCATTGACATTTTATACAATTTAAAACGATTCTCTTTGAAATCAACTTCAGCGTACTTTCTCCATTTTTGTCTTCTTATGTTAGTTTGAGCTACTTTTTTAGAAAAGTTAGCATTTTACTATTTAGTTCATTTTAGTGTTTAGCTATCGTTTTAATGTCTATTTTAAAGACAATCTTTAGAGTGATCATCGCTCTGCCAATTTTAGCATTAACCTGCTGTTTAGCTTATTTCACCTTGTTGCTACAGTTTTATTAGCTAGTTTTAGCTTTTTGTTCCTCCTTTCTTATGGATACACTTTGGTTCTGTTTAGCTTCTGTTTGGCTCCTTTTAGTTCTTTTCTTTGTTTTAACTTTTATTATTCTCACTCATTTTCAGGCAGGTTCTGGCACATCACTGACCTCCACCTGGACCCGTCCTACAACCAGACCCGGGACCCCACCAAGGTTTGTTTCTCCTCCAAAGGATTCCCTGCCACCCATCCCGGGGTGTTCGGAGACTTCCTGTGTGACTCTCCCTACAGCCTGATCCAGTCGGCCTTCACTAACTTGGCGCCGCTTACACAGCCGCAGGACTTCATCATATGGACCGGGTCAGTATGCAGATGTATTTTAGTTCTGCAGAGGCAGAGCTTAAATGGGGGGTTCCACAGGGGTCCATCCTGGGTCCCCTCCTATTCTCTTTATACCTGCTGCCGCTTGGTGCTATTTTCCAGAAACACAACATGCCCTTCCACTTCTATGCCGATGACTGTCAAATTTACTTCCCCCTAAGACACAATGGTACATGCTCTATTCAACCTCTGCTCAACTGCCTGGCTGACATCAGGGACTGGATGGCTTTAAACTTCTTGAGTTTCAATGAAAAGAAGTCTCAAGTCATGTTGTTCCCTCCTAATGACACGATCATAAACCACTGTATCGACCTCTCTGCTCTAACCCTGTCAGAAAAACAAAGAGTCACTGATCTGGGTGTGATAATGGACCCTTCCCTGAAACTTAACAATCATGTAAACATGATCGTTAAATCATGCTTCTTCCAACTGAGGCGGCTGTCTAAACTGAAGCCCATATTGTCCAAAAAGAACCTGGAGACAGTAATACATGCATTCATTACATCTAGGCTTGATTACTGCAATTCACTCCTGTTTGGTATCAGTCAAACCTCCATTGCACGATTACAACTGGTCCAGAATGCAGCAGCCCCATTTTTAACCAGTACAGGCAAAAGAGAGCACATTACACCAGTTTTGGCCTCACTGCACTGGTTACCGGTTCACTTTCAAATCCAGTTCAAAATACTCCTGTATGTCTACAAATCACTGAACAGCCCCCCCACCCCATCTCTTTGATCTGCTACAACCGTATGTCCCACCACGTTCCCTGAGGTCAGCGAACCAGTTGCTCATCACAGTTCCAGGAACTCGTCTTAAGCGCAGAGGTGACAGGGCCTTCTCTGTAGCAGGACCAAGACTTTGGAACGAGTTACCTCTGCTTGTCAGACAGGCCCCCTCCCTCTCGGTTTTCAAGTCCCGTTTAAAAACTCACTATTCAGTAGCTTTCAACACCAGAGGATCTGTGTTTTGATCCTGTATGCTCCACACTGGTTTGTCGTCATATTTATTATCTGCTTCGTTTTTATTTCTGTATTTTGGATTTACTTCATTTTGTATTTTGCTTCGTGTGTTACCTGTTGTTCTGTCTGTACAGCACTTTGGTTGGGCTTGTCGCTGTTTTAAGTGCTCTATAAATAAAATGGTATGGTATGTAGGGTTCAACTGTAAAGCCAAAGTTCTTCCAGCTTCAGGCAGAATGTTGCCGAACACCAAATAACCCGAACAAGTAATCCGTTTACGGAACAGAATGGCTGCAGTTTTACATTTTGGTTTTTTTACATCAAGCGCAAGGATTGAGGAAGTGAAGTGAAGTCACTCTGTAACTCTGGATTGTTCTGCTGGTATTTCTTGTAGCCATACAGAAACATAATGTACCAGTTTCCTTCTGCATTTTTCTCCCTGAAGGCTTTGTTATCAAGAGGAGCTAGTTGCGGTGGTTGGGGCATCTGGTAAGGATGCTTCCTGGGCACCTCCCTAGGGAGGTGCTTCGGGCTTGTCTGACTGGGAGGAGACCTCAGGGAAGACCTAAGACACGCTGGAAAGACTATGTCTCTCAGTTGGTCTGGGAACTTCTTGGAATCCTCCCAGAAGAGGTGGATGTGGAAAGAGATGACTGGGCCTCCCTGCTCAAGATGCTGCCCCCGAGATCTGACTTCGGAATAAGCAGCAGTTGGTTTGTTGGTAGGTCGGTTGGTGGCCAAGTTGGTTGGTTTGTATGTTGGTAGGTTGTTTGTTTGGTGCATTGGTATGTAGGTAAACGTGTTCTATATGTTGATTAGAACATATTTCTTTTCCAAACTTTCACTTTTGTTTTGCCTCTGCTCATGTTTTACATTGTCCTGTTGGTAAATTCCCCACAGAAGTTGTCACATACTCATAAAAAGTGATGTAGAAATGTTTTTTATTTATTTATTATTTCTCATGTTTTCTGTGATGATGTCAGAGCGGTGTGAAACTAAGCAGAAGTGTCACTTCCTCCTCCACTCTGGAGTCTCTGAGATCGTTAAGAACCCACAGCTCCTCTTTATGATTTCCTCTGAAACTCTCGTATGATCAACACGAAGGAGCCCGTTTAACATTTAGTTAGTTTCTCTTCTGATCTATGTCTCGCAGGGACAGTCCACCTCACGTTCCTCCAGAAGAACTTTCTACAGATTTAGTGATTCAGGTCATCAGTAACATGACACAAACCATCAGGCAGCACTTCCCCAACCTCACGGTCTACCCTGCGTTGGGAAATCATGACTACTGGCCACAGGTAACTGGTTTTACTCCGACTGGATGGATTAAAAGTGGATGTAGCTCAAATGAACGTGTCTGTCTTCTCTTAAAAGTTTAGTCATTTACAGATGAATAAAGATAAAAACATCCATTTTATTTGTTAAGGCCATAGGTGAGATCGCTTTGTGCAATGCGTGTATATTACAGCTTTTATTAAGAAATGTTTTTAACAAAAGGCTCAGGATCATTTTTATGTACAGATTTAATTTAGACAAAAACTGCAGTTGAAATTTAAAAATATAAATGTGTGTTGCCAGTCCATTTACTAGGCCCACCGGTTCACAAGTAGCTACTCAGCCAATCACATGGCAGCAACTTTAAGCTTTTTGGCTTCTAGATGGGAAGAAAACAGTGAAGTTCAAACCGAGCATCAGAATCAAGAAGAAATTAGATTTAAGAGACTTTCAATGTGGCAACGTGCATTTCTTCAGAAAATGCTTATCTACTGAAATTGTAATGCACAGCCATCTCCAGGGTTTATGCTACAAAAATGGGAGAATATGAAGTGAGAAGCAGTTGTGTGGATGGAAATGCCTTGTTGGTGTCGGAGCAGAATAGACAGGCTGGTTGGAGTTGATCAAACGCAACAGGAGCCTAAATAACCACTGATTCTGCAGAATACCATCTGTGACCGCACAAGTCCAACCTTGATGCAGATGGACCACAGCAGAAGACCACTCTGGGAGCCACTCCTGTCAGATAAGAACCGGAAGCTGAGGCTACAGTTCACTCGGGCTCACCAACACCAGATTACAAGGGATTAGATGAGCTGATGAGTCTGGATTTACTGGACTAAGAAGGCCTCCGCAGCACCAGACCTCAGTCCAACTGAGAATGTGGTGGAATAGGAGATTCACTTCATAAATGTGCAGCTGGTTTATCTGCAGCACCTGCGTAATGCTGCACGCCAACGTTGGCCAAAACAATTTCCAACGCCTTGTCGAATCTGTGTCGCAAAAATTAAGACAATCCTAAAGACATAAAATGGTCATTGAGTGTTTAATTATTGCGTTTTATAAGTTGCTATATTAAAATTCTGTTTTCCAACTATTTAGCAAAAGGCCATTTTAACATTTTGTACTTGCTGTTCTAATCATACAGTTTGTGTGTCTTTGGAAACATGGCCTGTTGTAGGACCAGATGCCAGCTTCCTCTAATGCCGTCTACAAAGCTGCAGCTGCGCTCTGGAAACCCTGGCTGGACGCCGACGCTCTGCTCACACTCTCACAAGGTACTTTTACTCATGAGTACTACAACGGCAGGGTGGGTTGTAATCAGTGAAAGTTGTTGAGCTGTACAAGCTGTTGAGTTCTTCACTCTCCATAGTCAATTTAATTCAGTTCGTTTCTGTAGCCTGGAGTCTGCTCGCCATGCGGTCCAGAAAAAGTAAACGAGTCCATTTCCACACAATTTAAAGTTTTTACTTTGTGCTTCGGCCTTTACCTGCAGGTGGTTTCTACTCCCAGCTGGTTAAGCCTGGTTTACGGTTGGTGAGTCTCAACACGATCCTTTACTACGGTCCTGATCAGGTTACAGTCGACATGACCGACCCTGCAGGGCAGTTTGTGTGGTTGGAGAAAACCCTGGACCAAGCTGCCCAGAACCTGGAAAAGGTGTGTAATCTTCTAACCTGCTTCATGTGATTGATGCAGCGTTTTCAAGTCATTTCAACCGTAACGTGTTTTTGATCGTTTAGGTGTACGTCATCGCCCACGTTCCAGTGGGGTATCTGCCTTTTTATGGAAACACCACTGCCATCAGGAAAGCCCACAACGAGAGGCTGGTGGCCATCTTCAGGAAGTTCAGTCATGTTGTTGCAGGACAGTTTTATGGCCACACTCACAGAGACAGCATCATGGTGCTACTGGACCAACAAGGTAAAAAAAAACAAAAAGGATGTTTGAACACCAGATATTGTTGAAATGACGCATCACGTTTTTTCCCCAGAATGCTGTTTTTTTGTCTCATCAGAGTCACTTTGATGAAAGATGTTAATTTGTTGCTGTAAGTGTAGTCTGATGCCCAGTTCTGCTGGGGACTTTTAATGGTTGCACAGAAGCTAATTCATAAACGCTAATCGACCCCCGGGGTAGGTTGGATTTCTTAAATTGTAAAACCTACAGGATCTCAATGTGATTTAAAAAATACTGTTTGCTTTAAAAGAAAGTAAAATATCAGTGATTTATTTATTATAGTAGGTTGTTTTTAACCTTGATGTGCGAGTGGGAACTCCCAGTTTACTGGGAGCCATTATAGTGAAGTTTTTCTAACGTTGTAGGTTTCCACTAAACGTTTCCATCTTCAAAAGAACTGCAGTTTCCTTTATTTATTTTTTCTACACACCTTTTGTAAAACTGTGAATTTATAATGTTGTTTAATTTTCCTCATGCATTTGGATCCATGTATAAGAATACTGCCTCACCAGTCTGATTAACCCATTGATGTATTTTGTGCAGGTAAACCAGTGAATTCTCTCTTTGTGTCACCGGCTGTCACACCGATCAGAAACGTTTTGGAGGAATATTCCAACAATCCAGCGTTCCGCATGTACCTGTACAACGACAAGGACTACAGCGTCCAGGTGAGAAGATAGAATCAAGGAAAGGGAAGTTTTGAGATTGTCATATGTTTCCATACAATGATGAAATTAGTCTCTGCATTTAACCCATCACACCTGAGAAACACCCAGGTGGAGCAGTGGGCGGCTATGTAGGCGCCCGGGGTTAATTAGGGATTAGGTGTCTTGCTCAGAGACACCACGACATGTGGGAATGGCCGGGAGTCGAACCGCGGATTTCTGGTCCCAAGTCCGCTGCCCTACCTCTACCCCATGTCAGCCCCCAAATTAACTCGATTATAATTTCAGATTATTTGTTTATGTGGGTGAGAATGGCCCCGTTTTTTGTTCCCCACGAAGCGGAGGTGAAATTAAAAATAGTGTCCATCTGTGTGTAGTGTGAGCACGATGGCTTGAAAATAACTGAGGTACCAGCTTCCATTTTGGTGTGTGGCTGCTTCTAGGTGGAAATGTCAAACAAAAATCGGGTTATCTCGTCAAAATCTAAGATGGCTGCCACCACATATATATGTAAACTGATCATTTGAGGAAACTATGCTTTTTTTAGTTTTTATATTGCTTGAAATTATAATTTCCTTAAGGGGTTGGGGTGGCCTAAGATTAATATTTGGTGGCCAATGCCTCCATTGGCCACCCCCTGGCTCTGCCACTGTGCCTTGTGGGATAAAGGTGCTCCCTCCACTCACCAGGATCCGTCACTTTGCGCTGCCTCGGACAAGCAAAAAATAAAAACCTGCTCCGTTCTCCACATTGTAACTCCTACCCACTTGATTATATTGCTCCAAAAACATTTAGGTTAACTTCACTCTGTTCAACTCCCATCACTCTCCTCAAAAACTACAAACATTCACTTTTCAAAACCTCCTGATGGGACGTGGGCTCACCGCTTGCTACTTCCTGTGAAGTGCCCTGAGACAACTTTGTTGTGAAGTGGTGCTATTTAAATAAACTGAACTGAATTCATTTTAACTAGAAGAACAAAAGATTTCTGATATCTGCTAATTTTTATTGATATTCTTGTTGTACATTAATTTGCTAAAATGTATCGATCATTTGGGACCTGGGCCGTATTTGCTTTCTGTTTGTTTGTACAAAACAAACATTATAATCGTTCCGCTCTCAGTGAGAGAACACATTCCTTCACACAGGAAGCCTGACGATTTTAGATATTCAAAAAGTATTTATTTTAATACTTTTCTTTATGTTACAAGGTAAAACCTGGAAGATTTACAGAGTCTGTCAAGTTTGGCAGAATCAACATATGATTCTGGTAAAAGGGATAAAGGATCCACTCAGTTTAACTTTTTTTAATTTGCTACGACAATAAAACGAACAAAGTCACTAGAGGTAAGAAGTTTGAAGCTGGCACATTTAGATCAAAGTGAACGTGTCCAACCTCGACCTCACAGCTCAAAGCCTGACGCTCACAGTCCAAAGAGATGATTAATCACGGTGTCAATCAGCTCACAAAAACTTTCTCTGCCTTTCAAACCGACTCAAAGCCTTTCTTCTTTCTCCTCTTCGCTGCCTTTCTCTGCCTCTTTGAAGGATATCTGGCAGTACTATCTGAATCTGACGGAAGCCAACGAGAAACAAAGATCCGACTGGAAGCTCGAATACATCATGACCGAAGCTTTTGGGCTGGCCGACCTGCAGCCTCACAGTCTTCTTCAGCTGGGCCTGAGCTTCATGCTGCCGCAGACCCAAACCTTTGACCGATACTTCACTCACTTCATGGTCAGCTACAGCAGCAGCATCACCTGCGGCGGGCGCTGTAAGCTCCGCCAGGTGTGCGCCGTGCTCTACCTGGACCAGCAGTCTTACTCCAAATGTGCAGAAAGTGGAGGCTGGTAGAAAGAACTTCTCTCAAGAGACTCGTTTTATTTTATTTATATTAATTTTGTTTCTCAGGAATCGGAGAAAAGAGAAAATTTTATTTATCACTTCTTCTCGTCTCAAAATTTTATTTTTCTGTTTTCAAACTATTACCAAAGAACTTTCTATACTTGATTATACTTGATTCATTGATTTTAAACTGAACTAAAATGCGCTTACGATCAAAAGAATGTAGTAAATTAAATCTATGCTGGAAAAAAAAAAGAGACATTTTGTGCACAGAGATATAAAACAGTGATGCAATAGCACTATCTTTTTAATTAAGCTCTCCAAAAACGCTCCTCCAACCTGTCACACACTCAGCCTTTATAGTCAAAATGAACCCAAATGACTAAAAGCATATTAGGAATTATTTTATTTCCCTCACCAAATGAAATAATCTGAAGCGGCAGTGTTTCAGTCAGCTGCAGAAACTCACAGAACGAGTTCATTTACGAAGCTCAGACTGAAACTCATGCAGAGCAACGAACAACGAAAGTTGAGAAAAACAAACAAAGCGTCATGTGTTTATGGAGAAATGCATCACCACACACTTTCACTGTGTCCGTGTTTTAAAGTCATATTTTTGTTTACATTTGAAGGTTTTTTCCCTTTAAGATGTTTATATTTCTGCAGAAGAGTTGGAATGGTTCGTTTGTGTCTTAATTCTTGTTTCACTTCTTGCACAAATTAATTGCACTTTATATTTAACCTGTTTTAATTCTGAGAGAATTAAAAATAAATAAAAGCAAGCAAGTTCTGGTTGTTTTACTTTTAAAGAAGGATCATTTGATGCTTTTTATGTCTGCAGAATATGAAACTTCCACACTAAGAACAAGCTGTAACTCTCTGAAGCTAAAAGCTTTTTTTATGATTGTGATGAACGCAGAGGTGTTCCCAAACCTTTTGGCCCTTCAAAATAAAAGTCACTGAGCCTCATGGCCTCAAGTAATGCTGACTGAAGTCTACAAACATTTGAACAAACAACATTAATTGGATTTTTGTAAACCTGGTTTTATTTGTTGCAGACAATTATTTTTGATTTAAATTATGATTTTGAAATGTTCTCAGAACCCCCTACTCTGTGTTTCATGACCAGAAATAAGGTCCTGACTCCAGCGTTGGGAACCAATCACATCCTTTATATTTGATTTTTGAACTTTGCAGATCTTCCCCCCCCCCCCCCCCCCATACCACCGGATCCAGGCTGCTGTAAATATTATAGAAAACATTTGTATTTTACCTTGAATATAACCGTAAATGCCCTGTGATGGATCTGCGGCCCGTCCAGGGTGTACCCCGCACCTTGCACAGTGATTGCTGGACATGGGCACCGGTGACCCAAAAGTGGAAGAAGCGAGTAAAAGATAATGGATGGATAACCGTAAATATTAAATTACGTGTCTCGTCTTTACAATGGAAAATACTGCGCTCAGGGTGATTGTGAAATAAGAATGAATCTCGTTTATCAACATAGAACATTACATGTCATAATTGATAGGTCTAGTCTAACTAGGGTTTTACTTGTTTTGTTTTAATCTCTTTAGAGCAGGAGGACGTAAATGATCAGCCCAGTTATCGCAAAACACAGGTCACAATGTCATTTCTTTTTGACCATTATTCCTTGTTTTTTTATGATCACATGAACGAGAGAGTGATAAAACTGGATTAAACTGTCATGCACACTACTTTTGCAGGCTGTGTGATGTCTGTCTATCACAATAAACAAATTCAAAGACTATTTTTGAAGACATCTTTAATTTCACCTGTTTCTGTGCTGAGACAAACTTAAAGCAGGAAAATCCACAACAGTAAACAAACTGCAATGAAAATATAAACTGACAAGTGACATTTAATTTTACTCTTATTTCTAGAGCCTGCTCGATATATTGTTAGGGCCAATATTTTAGGCCGATATAGGCGTTTGGGGGGGGGATATTGGTATCTTTGATAATGTCCCATTATGTGCTGATAAACACGGGACGAGCCATGTCCTGACTGTAAAAGATGTAATTGTACAACGTATCCAGCAGAGGGTGCATGAAGACATTCAAGTCATGGCCGTTCACTTTAAGTTTCACTTTCAGTACAGACGAAGCAGCGAGCAATACTGTGTAGCATATTTTGCTGAACAGAACATAGTAAGTTTATTTTAACTGATCTGTAAAGCAAATCAACAAAAATAAATTATCTTCAATCCTCCAGCCTGCTTAGTTACGCAACTCTCAAGTTAGCAAGCTAACGTTTAGATAACCTAGCATAGGCTATTGCCTTATAAAACTTTATCCAGAACAGTAAATCTAACGTAGCGGCAAAATACATCAGTGTTAGTGCATTTCATTGAGGACGACAAAGATAATGGGGCGGCTGCGGCTGAGTGGTTAGAGCAGTCGTCCTCCAATGCGAGAGTTGGGGGTTCGAATCCACCAGCAGCCACATGCCGAAGTGTCCCTGGGCAAGACACTGAACCCCTCATAGCCTCCGATGTGTGTCCCATCAGTGTATGAATGTGATAAAGCTCTGATTAGTCTCTTTAGAATGATTTGTTCAATTAGCTTTGCAGAGATGTAGAGTGCTGTATGAATGGGTAAATGAGGCTCAGATTGTTGTGAAGAGCTTTGAGTATCTTGAAATAAGATAGAAAGGCGCTATACAAGTACAGTCCATTTACCATTTAATGTTGCTGTTTGCCTGAACTCTTAAATTCTCTGCAAAGAAAAAAAACCTGCTGTGGTCAATACCAATTACACCTTCATCATACACTGTTTAAACAATGAACAGGGAAGGTGTTGCTTCATTTAATTTATATTTATGTAACACACTTGATAACGTTATGGTGAATATTGGAGGAAAGAAAATGTGAACGCACGTAAGGAAGACGGTTTTTATGACCAGTGCTCCACTTGTAAACAAACTGTGGGACTAATTAAAGTGTGGATCTGATTAGCTTAGCTTCATGGTTGCTAACGGCTGCGCTAAATAAGCAAGCCCCGCTCCGCTCGCTGTTTACTGTTCGTACTTGGATTCTTGGGAGTGGACAAAGCAAAAAAGTATCAGCCATTATTTCGGTTATCGGCATCAGCATTCCCTTCACATTATCATATCGTCGATGGCCAAAATTTCCATATCGGTCAGGTTCTACTTATTTCTTTATGGATGCAGGAAGTTTTCCAGTAAACCTTTTATTCTTTACATTGCATTTTCAAAAGTACTCATTGCAAACAATAAAAATCTATTTATTTTCTATAACTTCTTTAATTCCAAACAACTTTTCCATGGATGTCACTATTTCCATCCATTTTCCGGCTGTTTCTGTGGGTAAAATAAGCATAAGCTGGTTTGCAGCCATTCAAGAATTTTGCTTCTTAAGTTTTATTGAAGGACTCATTAGCCATCGCTATCAGGAAAAAGAAACTTGTTTTGATGGATCGTCGTGACGTTTCAGCGAGCACCTTCAACACCAGAATGTTAGGCGAGGAAAATGCAAACTTATTTAACACCAACGGGTTTGTGAATGATAAAATGTAAAAATAAAAACATTTTCCTTGTTTAAATTACTTAATAAATCACTTAGAGAACTTTACTAATTGGCTTTATGTATGTGAGTGTTCCTGTAAAGTGCCCCGAGACAAATTTGTTGTGATTTGGCTCTATACAAATAAACTGAATTGAATTGAATAAATAAAGCGCTAAAATGTGATAACTGTTGTTTTCTAATAAATTACAAACAAAAATCAGAACATGGTTTTAATTTGGCTTCAGTTTTTGTTTTTATTTAAAACCCTTATCAAAATGTATTTATTCTACATCGTCCTTCGTGTAAACAAGCTTTGGCACGATAAACGAGGTTTTGTATCACCAATAGTAACATTTAAACAAGTTATCCAAGTTTTAACTCGAAGGCTGCATGAAATCTTGTGCAGATTAGTTTTTCTCTGCAGGGGAGACAAAAGAACCACGACTATCCTCAGATGACTTCTGATTCAAGGCCACCCTCCCCCGCCCGAGCACCCACATCTTTTTCCTTCTCTTGTTTAAACTTTGTCGAAAACCCTCTCGTTTCTCAGCCACCAGCCCAAGAATTCGCCCCTCTCCTGCTTTCCATCATCCCTCCCAGCTCTTTGTCCCTTCGTCTTCCTCCCCAAACGTTGAGAAAAGCTTTTCTTAAAGCTTCGCCTACATTTTCAAAAGTAGCAACGCTTCAACTAAAATCGACCAAAGTGCCGTCCCAGCTCCAAACAAACAGCAATTCTGATTTCCCTGCAGGGAATAGTTTGTATCCTGTCATACTCTGATACGCTCTCTACCAATCTTATCTGGGTGTTAAAGGACAAACATTAAAAATAACCGTTTGCGTGTTGAATTATGACGCTGGAAACGTTAAAGTTTAGCTGACGTGAAGGAAGTTTGATCAAAGTTTGCACAACCAGGTTTTAAAAAAAGAGATTGATGTACTAAAAGTATTATCTCTAATTACGATGAGTTACTTTTAGAGAACTTAAAAACATATTGACAAAACGTTTATGAATCAAAACTATTTGAATTCCTACAAATACCTAAACTTTTCTCCTGCACTGAATCTGTACTTTGTGTGTTTGCTAAACTCTTTCCCCTCATGTGTCCCCCCCGCCTTTCATTATTCCTGTCCACCCCCTGACCTCTCACCACCGGGTTCAGTTCCTGGCAGACCGTAACCATGGAGACGAAGATGGTGGAAGGAATTGTAATGTAGAGGGCCTCGTTGCCACGGTAACGGGAGCAGAGCTCCCAATCATCTGGATTCATCCCCGATGTCACGATTATTAGCAGTTTTTTTTTTAATTTTTTTTTTTACTAAAAACTTAGTGAAAACCTTCAGCTGTAACTGCAGCTCTAAAAAGGGATATTCCAACCATTTACAAGCTTTTTGAACACCTTCACTTTGGAGGAAAAGTTTTTTTTTTATGTCCAACATGATTGAAGAGCTAATATTTGGTTCAAATGCAGCAAAGACCAAAGTGGATTGTTGACGTTTTAGAACAACTCTAAGTTTCACAGCGATTCAGTCCCTGTCAATTAAACGTTTACTGTCCTCAGTTTATCATTTACACAGTTAGTCCAAGTGGACCAAGTTGGAGGGGTTCCACTCAGACACACCATCTGTACAGTTTGAGTACGTGTTACCAACTCCTCTG